GTACATACGTAGGTACATGCGAAACAGAGGGTTACAAAAAATTTGAAATATAAGGGTCGAGGACACGTGGCTGTATCATGGCAAACGTCGAGTGTCAACAAAAACTGGCGTCCAGTCACTAGAAAAGTACACGTCAGTTTCCCACGCCTTATGCTCGCGTACACCGGATGATCCAGTATAACTTCGTGCTAGATTGGCTATAAACTGCCGAAGGCGAAGAAGTTAAACTCCTGCAACTGCCGTGATTGAGCACGGACGGGCTTGAAGGTAAGGAATCAGGCACCACCTAAGTACCCTCCTGCTTTCTCTCACTCCCCTTCAAGTGCGCTCGGCCGTGCGATCGACAATTGCGGCGTGTGGCTACTTCTGCACGAATACGATTTGTTTGTTGAATATAAGCCTCAAATACGAACAACGACGGATGGAAGCGTAAAGGAACACAAAAGTCTTTGGCGGTACAAGCACATTCCAGGCAGCGTCAGACCGCCTAGAAATCCCGGGAAAAACTACGCGGAAAAATGCGTTCATCGATCGTTCAATACAAAATAAAAAAAAAAATAAATAAAAAAGAAGTTATTTTTAGCGAGAAGTCACGTATTGGATATCTCCTTTGCTTCCGTCGTGGCATGCTTGTCTCGTTCCCCAGGCGCATAACGATTAGGAATTAGAGCACTCCACTCGAGAAAGGAAGGAAGTTGTCTATAGGTTTTCGCGAAAAGGGAACCAACTCAGATATCGATCGCCACGACGACGACGAAGTGATATTAGGGTTGTCGGGCGTCCGAGAAATTTGACTTTTCATGTATACCCACTCGAAAGTTTTCCATAGCTGTCGGAAAGTTCAAAAGCGACCGCTTTAATTTGGAAAGGAAAAGAAGTTTCCTAAAAATGGTTCATTTTTTTTTGTGCCAGAGTAATGAAAAAGTAGAAAAGCTTTGATAAATATTTGCATTAGTTTTGTCGTAAGAGTATATGCAGCCCCTACAATGAAGGAAACTTAAGGATACATCGAATGGCAACAATGGACTGGTCAGTAATCATCTCCCCTTGTTATCGTCTTTTATCGAACTAAATTATCGCGCTAAAAATTGGCAGGAGCTTGAAAACAATATATAGGAAGCTCGCTATACAGTTATTTTTCAAAAAATTGATTTTAAAAAAAATTAGAATTTTTTACAATTTCTTCAATGTACAGGTATATAGAGAATATCAATAAAATGGATGTTTCTCCAAAATGTCAAGAATAAATGCTGAATGGACCGACTGCTTTTATTTTTTGAAAAATCGGCATAACAAAGATGTTTTGATAACATCTATTATTATTTAAAGGTTTCTTTCATTCTATCCATTAATCATCAACTGAAGTACTTTTCCTCTAAATAATAATAAAACATAAATGAAATACTAAATTATTTCATAATTTATGTACAAAAGTGATGCTCTGAATAACGAAATTTCTTTCGCGTAATAAATATGAAATGTTTTTGGGTTTACTCTTTTTCGAGGAATATAGACGATTCAGTTGACTGAAATAGATGACAGAAATCTTCAGACAATTATAAATTTAATTAAAATTTAAGAATATCAATAGCGTAGTACGCTTCGCGCACTTATTTTTCATTTATACTATTTAGTTTCACATGTTTCAATCTAATCAAAACTATTCATAGACGAAATTAAAAATCTTAAATATACCACATGCATAACACTATTTGATGCTTTAATATACTCAACGTCCATTGATGTTAATTGTTCAATAAAAATTCAATTAAGTTTATATTCGTAGCTTTAATTATGATTTCAAATTTAATAACAGCAGATTTTCAGAATTTAGATATGGATAATGGAAAACGCACTAAGATCGTTTTACCTTTTTCTTTTTCTAAATAAATCGAACCATCAGCAGTGCCTAACAATTTCATTTTCTTCGTTTTATTTACACGATTGTTTACGATTTAAAACTTTATGTATGATATTCCTATATAATAATACTTTTGTTAGCAAAAGTACTGGAAATCATTTTCGGCTAATTTGGTGCTGTGCTTTTCATAAACTAAATTTCTAAATATTCTCTTTCAGCAATCAACCTGCTATATTTCATCTATCCATTTGTTACATTATTTACTTTATATTTACATTTATAAATTTACTTTCAGAAAATTTTTTCAAGAAATCATAGAATCATATGAGCCGAAATCACTTCATAGTATTTAACGTGAAACAATAATTGATTTTCTTTTTTGTTGATTATATTTATTTAAAGCTAAATTTTGTAACATAGATATTTAATAAATTTATAAGTCCTGAGAATAAATATAATTTAAGCGCATTAAGATTCTTTTACCATATTATTTTAAGGTTAGGCCGTTCAGTGAATGTGGGATTTTATTGTTTCTTCAATGCCTACGAATTGTCTTACTTATTTTTTATTCACTTGCTTGATAATAAATCGATGTAAAATAAGTCGAACTATTTATTAGGACCGTTTTGCTACTTTTGATACTGATTTGCTTACATAAGCATGTATGTTGTTACAGTTAGTAAGCCAACCAGACCACGAATAAATTGACTTCACTTTCAAACCGATCTTCTCTTATATCAAAAAGGAGGGTTTTATCTCTTGCATATCAATCAGATCTTATCGGAAAAAAATTTTGGTTAGGTGAATAGTTTAGATTAAAATAAAGTAAAAATATAGTACAAGAATGGTATTAAAATCTGTATTTTCAAAATAATTCTTTAGTTTAACAATTATGAAATATTTTAGTATCTAATTTTTTTCTGTATTGAAGCAAAATACTTCAGTTGATCATTAATGGAAGAATTACTATATAGAAACTTATGTGTTCTTATGAATAGACACTTTCAAATTTTCATAAATTTAATTAAAAGTTAAGAATTGAGTATATACATATTTTACAAACACAATAATTTTAGGCTGCTATTTTTTTCTGAAGTGGTTAAAAAGTTTGTTGATGAAACATTTGCTTTTCTCATTTGCTTCCACTAATGAAGCACAGCGTCAATTAAAAAAAATCTCCTTGCGTCTTACCGACATTCTCTACATGACTGTACAGTTTCAGCCCAAATAATTCACTACTTCGTGAATAAAAAATTAACTTATCAAGAGATCGAAGAAAACCAAAAAATTTTTTTACGAACTTAATTTTTCGAAAAATAGCTGTATACCGAACTTATACAGTTTCAAGTCCTTATCAAGTAGCGCATAATAATTCAATGATTAGCGCAGGATAATTCAATGATTATTGATCGGTCAATTTTTGCTGTCTGACGTCGCCTTAAAACAACACTTCGTACAACTACAATTTTATTCACCGGGAATGAAAAACAGGAGAGAGAGAAAGAAAAATGAGAGCTTCTACTTGAAATGTCAGGCACGTATCGATCGCCGTGCTCCTGTGCGCAGGCGTGTGTGTACATAAATCCTAGTTAATAGAAGAAGGGAGGAAGAGAGAGAGAGAGAGAGAGAGAGAGAGAGAGAGAGAGAGAGAGAGAGAGAGAGAGAGAGAGAGAGAGAGAGAGAGAGAGAGAGAGAGAGAGAGAGAGAGAGAGAGAGAGAGAGAGAGAGAGAGAGAGAGAGAGAGAGACTGGAAAAATCGGCAATCGCAGCAGGTGGGCTGGGTTCGGGTTGAACTACGGCAGTGCCTTTTTCCTATTTTCTCTCGTCTCCTTCGTGAATTTGCCTTCTGCGAGGTATTTGCGCACGCTAGCAGAAAAAACGTAGATATCTTTCGAATAAATTTTTAAAAGATGCGAATAAGTATTTTTCTTTTTTTTTTTCTTGGAAAAGATGTCTTGTATACTCGTACTGAGATAAACATATATATTTAATTTTCGAATTTGTATTAATATTGATAAGTCTTATGTCACTGCTTTCTTCAGGTAATATAATTATGTAATATTATAATAATAATAATTTATTCTAGTTAAGTATACATCTTTTGCTTACATTACCATGCCATGTAATACAATCTTTTAACATTATGAAATTATGTAATATTATATTTTTCGATTATCATGATATTATGTTACTATTGAGTTAATGACAATGTCTTTAAATAAAATTTGATTCAATAATGTATTGCGATAAAGGCGAACCAATACTTATTCTTTTGTGAAACACTGAAAGTTATATGCGATTAACGGTACGAAACAATAGAACTATAGACCTCTTATGACATTATTTTACTGGTAAATATTTGACAAGTTAATCAAATCTTATTTTTTCAATACAATCACTCATCAGAGAAAGTCTACTAAAGATAAGCCATAACAGATGTTGAAGCATATATAAAAGTAAAAAACAACGTAATGGAATGATCATTTCATTTGAAATAGCGTACAAAGTACGGTGCCAGTTACTTCAATCTAAACTAAAATTTGATACGGTATGTTAATTAAAGATACATAATTTTTCTGTACGATAACAATTCAATAGTATAGTGATCACATTTCTAAAGGATCGCGTAATCAAGCTTTAATGATACAAATTAAAAAATATGCGTTATTTTATTAATTTACAAGATATTTTTTTATATAAAGCATTATTTTATTTTTGAAGAACGGGCTGCTTATACTGTATGCAATACCGAACATTGAAATAAAAATAAAGAGAAGCAAGGAATTTAAATTAAATTATTTATAAGATATATCTACTAATTTATAACTTTTTAAGATTATCACAAGATAAATCCAAATATTCCCAAAAAATATACCACCTTGAAACTAAGGGAGTACTTTACATACTTTTTTGTTTTACAGATCGGAGTTATTTGTTTTACGGAGTACTTGATAATAACTTTCTTTCAAAAAGGATATCTTTCGAAGATGAACACTTACGGCATTTTATTGTGCATTTTTTTGACACTGGTAATTGTTTAGAATTTTATTCGATTAAAAAAATTTATTTTTCATTTAATTAATTTTGTTTTCAAGATATCAAATACAATTCAAGCATCTGTCGTATCTGAATCCCCTATTGCAGAAAGTTTCCAAATAAATGGCTCAATTCTGTAAGTTAAGATAATAATTTATAATGATTTGAATGATTCACTAAATATTAACAAGTCTTTATGATTTTTAGTACTCAGATTGATGTCACACTTGAAAAGTCCAATGTACTTAATTTAGCATTTGGGTATCCCGATTACCGTCTCCTAAGTGAAACACAATTTGCTCTATTGGAAAACGCTTCTGCTCCAAGTCAATATTCCCCTGGTACCGTAAGTTCGCACTGTTAGAATAATATAAAATTTAATAGATAAATCCAGAGTTATATTATAAACAAAGTTATTAAATATACTGATTATTAATTTTACTATGACGTGTTTTTGTTTGTTTAGGATAGTCCAAGATTATTGGAGGCAATTTCAAAATTCTACTCAAAATTGTTAAACAAAACTTTAAATGTAGATGATAATATAATTATTACTTCTGGAGAAATTGAAGCTTTGTATCATGTATTTTCAACGCCTGTACAAAAGGGAAATGAATGGATTATCTTTGAGCCATGTGATAAATTTTATCTAAGTACAATTATGGCGGTTGAAGGAATTCCTAAGCCCATACAACTAAAGCCAGTATGATTTTTCTTAATTGTTTGAAATCAAAGTTCAAAAATATTGAAGTTATAAAAAGATTTTCTTATTTTTTATTAAAGAAATTTAACGAAACTCACAATCTTACATCAGCTGATTGGATCTTTGATAAGGACGAATTGTCAAAACTTTTTAATAACAATACAAAAGGCATTGTTATTAACAATCCGCACGATATATTTGGAAAAATGTTTACGCTAGATGAATTAACATTTATTGCTGACTTAGCAAAAAAATGGGGAACACTTGTAATGGTTAATGAAGTATATGAATTCTTTACTTTCGATAACAACGAACATATCAGGATTGGTATGACCTTTCAATAGTACTCTATCACACTCGTAAAAAATATATACTATACATACTACACTTTTCATATCAATAAGAGTCTTTCAATGAAATTTGAATTAACCAAAACATTTTATTAGTTGAAAATTGTACTTGTTATTACGTTGAGTTTTTATTAAATAGGTTTAGAATGTTTAATAAAAAATTATTTGTCATCTCATGTATTTTCAACCTTCCAGCGACTCTACCAGGAATATTTGAACAAGCAATCACAATCAGCTCTGTTAAAACAATGATTGCGACAACTGGTTTTAAAATTGGTTGGGCTTACGGAAGCAAAAAACTTATTTATAGTATTAAAGAAATCCAAAGTCAGATCCCTAGGAACCCCTCAAGATTTCTTCAGGTAATTTGTGACAATTAGGCCATTGCATTATATACGTTACATATACGTTAACAGCCTGTCATATGTCATTGAATATTCGTCGTTATAGGAAAGCGTTGCGGTTATACTAGAGCAAGAAACTAAGAATTTCGGCAAACCTTATTCAATTATTGAACGTTTGAAAAAACATGCTCAAGCAAACAGGGACTACTTGTATCGGAGTTTGATTAAGGTTGGAATGACTCCTATACTTCCTCAAGGTGGTTATAATATGATTGCTAATTGGACAACAATGAGAGACAGAATTTTGTTAGAATCCAAGAATGATGAATGTACAGATTTGAGATTTTCAAACTGGTTTATAAAGAATATTAACATATTGAGTTTACCATTATCACACTTCTACCATGATGAATACGAGTGTTCTAGAAAGGATTTTATTAGTATGACGATTATCAAGGTATTTCATATCACGCGTCATCTTAGTATTATGAGTATATTTAATTTTAATTTTTTTAATTTTACAGGGAAGTGATACGTACAAAAAAGCTGAAAAACTTTTATCAGAATGGCTTTCACGACAATAAATCGAATACCATAAATATTTTTCTCTAAACAGTGGCATTTTGCGATCTCTTTGTAATGTTTACTTAGGGAATCGATGATAAGTGAAATAAACTTATCTAAAAAAGAACAAATACAGCTTAATTATTATTCTATCGCGTAGAGCTTTAGAAAATCAAAGAGCTTCAAGAACTAAATGCATCTTTTGTGATGTCGGCAAGACAACAGGCAGCTGACGTTTTGCAGATAGTATCGTTTCCTTTCAATAGCCTATTGGCCTAGATTTTCATTCGTCAGGTAACAATAACGTTTATTGAATCGGAATTCAAGAGATGGAGACGCTTAAGTCTAATTCAATCTAGTTATTCGAGTCATTCTCAAGATGTAATGAATATATCGATCTTAGCATTGTCCTAACAATATTTCCTTTAATCTGAATCTTTCATTGCAGCCAACAAAAGAAAACCTCACAATGCAATAAGAATAAAATTCACTCGTTTTAAAATTCACTTGAATATATTGTGTTCTAATTCATTTATTCATTTTATGATAAACTGTTGTTAACATTTGGTTTGCAAAGCACCACAATCAGCAAATAATAATCTCATATTACTAAAAAAATTGCTACACGGAGCTAGGGCGAATAATACACCTGTCTGAAGTACCACTAAGTCTATCGTTTTCTTCTCAGCGCTTCGATGTTCATAAAGAATAAAAAAAAACGAAAGGCGTATGAAAGGCATCTTTTGTGTGCCTAGACCTGCCTCTTCGTCATCTCTTTTTTTTTTTTTTTTACTACGCGCAAGTTCTCGATGTTGAGATGCACGAGATGCGGCTAGACGCTCGTGCGCTTTTGATGAAAGCTTCCGCTTCGAGAGCGCAAGCAATGGCTTTATCTTGCAAATTTTGTAGATACTGGAGTGTGTATCGAGTGAAATCTGCGAAGCAAAGCTTCCGCTGTAGTGCTTTCTCAGTGTGGAAATTTTTGAAAAAAAAAATCGACACTTCATTCTACGAAATTTGATATTTGCTTTTTACGGGAAAATTGTTGATCGAGTTGTTAGAAGCTTTCTATATTCGCTCTTTTTTCACCAGAAAGCGTGTTATGTGATATTTGGTAGCACTCACGAACATAAATAAAGTCTGAGTCGGGACAAGAGACATAAAAGCTACCCTCTTTCTCGTAGTGTATCCTTGACCTGCCTGTCTTCTTGATCGAACGAACGACTTTTACTATTTTTCTAGAATAAGTGACATTTGTCTAACGAGTCTGCAGAAAAATGACAATCACTAATAATTAATTAATCATTGACTATAAAATTTTCAGCATTTCACTATGCTATTCCATGTATATGCCGTGACTATAATTTTACAGGCTCTGCATCAGAGCAAAGCTACTGTTGATCCTACAAGCCATGAACTATGGTCCCTATAATAATGCCTAGTAATATATCAGACCTATTGTTTATGCTGTTACGAATACGACGTAGATTATCATTTTTTTACTTTGAAATATTAATCTTGAATATAATTTAACTATAAAATAATACGAGAAGAGAAACGTCCCGGGAGTTTAATATATAATTTTGAAAATTATTTAAGTAGGTTATGCACATCTGCCGTTATAATTCGCATCTTTAAAATGCAGTAAAAAATTTACTGCGTCGTGTCATAAAATTAGTATTAACTTCATCATTATAGTTAATCATGCATCACTATAGTTTTTTTACTTTTATGAAAAATAACATTGTCACAACAGTAAATATTTTAACTGGGCCGCATAGTTACTCTTGGTCTTCATGCACTCGACCTACAATCCGCGGAACTCCAAATATTTAGCACAGGACGCGGAGATCTCTGGAAAATATTAAATAAGCTTTAACAGCAAAAGCAAAAGTAGGAACTGTCTGCCTTATCAATGTTTAGAAAGTATAGTATCAGATGCCACTGGAAAACTCCACTTTACCGACTCCAGATCAGGGAAAGCTTGAGACTTTTCCAGTTCGTTAGCCGTCGGTAAAGTAGAAAAACGTTTTTCAATTTGTTCTCGCTATATCAATAAGCATATCATTATCAATAACTCACGCTTTCGTTTTGTATACGTTGATGGCAGATACATACCTGAAACAAACAAAAGAAAATACATAAAAATTTATAATTTTACCTATTCAATACATATATTTTCATTGCATAACAAATTGGCAATTTTTGCAAGATTTTCATGCAAAGCTTCATAAATAGAGGAATGCGAGTGGAAAAAACTACTTATATAGAGCAAAATCGATGTCGCGGCACAAAAATAAAAGATGAATTTGCGATAATCCACCTAAGAGCTCATAGCAATGATTGAGAAAACATCCATGATGGATAACATTTCGCGGTTTTTCTCGAAAGATAGCGGGGAAAGTATCGAGGATAATACTTTTGAAACTTTCTCGCAGTGCGGGGACTTTTTTTTACGAAGGAGAAAGGTGAAAATGATTTGGAACATAAATGTCGCCGTCGTCTCGTGCGCATAATCTCAGCGCGCTCTACAGGAGGAACTAGTTAATTTAGCTTCCACCTTGGTCAACCGGACCGGTTATAGCATGCACTTTTCAAACTCGCTGTATGCTATACTTGTTGAATTCTCGTCGTAAATCAAGTTTTCACACAGGTGAAATGAGTTTAATCTGAAGAAAAAGGTGAACTCATTTTCTTTTTTCATAAAAAAAAGAAAGAAAAAATATGCTGTTTAACAGTGAAGCGAAATCGTATCCTCACGTATAGAACTTCTCGATATATACCGGAATAGTCGCGGTCCAGGACTCTCTTGCCGCTCGAGAGTCACAATACTTTCTAGCTCGAGGCTATACGACTCGATACATAAAGTGCAAACGGGCACACAACGTTCCTCGTCGTCGTCTTGGGTTTCGCACGAATTTCTATGCTCGCTGCCGCGCAACGATACACACACGTGTATATAAAATACAATCTCTGCCGCTGCAAATTCTCTCACGCTGTGGTCATACTTCGCACGGATGCACGTGTGTGTTTTCTCCCGCTTTGAAGGTACTCCCTGATTTCTCTCTCTCTCTCTCTCTCTCTCTCTCTCTCTCTCTCTCTCTCTCTCTCTCTCTCTCTCTTCTTTTCTCTTTGCATCTGATGAATGTTGATAACCAACCAAGTTCTTTAAGGTTTGAAATTCATGAAAAGTGATTATGTTTTTGACTATATATATATATACAGACATTATTTTTCTTTGTTTTCGTTTTTGTTTTTAAAGACAACCTCAATTCTTCATCTTGCCAATCGAAAATCTCAGTAGCTCTTTTTGTTGGATGTATTTCATTTTGAACGGACAATCCACCGCATGAAAAACTTGCGGTTCAGGCAACGCACGGCTTTAGAAATGATTAAGAAATTGTGCAATCGCAACTCGCCACTGCCAATCTCGCACTCTCATAATTAAAAACTCGGCCCAACGACACTTGTCCCAAAGACAACGCGCGGCTTCTTTCGCGGACAAGGCAGTCGCGCACATTTTCTTTCTTTCTCGCGTGTCGCGTAACCGTGAGAGAATTAATTGTGCTTCGATGCTAATTATACAGTACTTCTCTGCTGCAGCTCTCGCCGCGATGACAGTTATCTAACAGCACAACGATAAAAAAGAAACGTAACGAGATTTGCCCGTTCGTAGGGTATCCCTTATATAGATACGAAACGGCAGATTCGTGTACGGCGAAGGAGTTTCGCGCGAATGATGCTTCTTATTCTTATTGATCGGTATGATATACATTTCATTACCTAATAACAGATTTGTAAGCACGTAATGCTCCCTCGTGACTATCGATGGAGGCAGGTTTGTTTACGTAATGCAAGTTATCGCGTAGCTCGCCACCATTTCTGGTACATATATATCTTAACTCGTAAGGTATACCATTTCGTTGCACAAATTATCCCTCTTAGTGTTTATTTATCCGAGCGACGGATTCCAACTGCTTTTTCGATTCCAGCGTTCAGTTCTGTCAATAACACAATCTTAATTGAATTCGAGAGCTGCCCTCCGCAAGTCCCTTGCGCGCGTGCACTTGACAGATCGAAATAACTCGGATTCTCGCGCAGCCTCTAAATTAAAACTCAACGCGCGCGTATAGACGATATATTATTTCGAAATCCTCGCGCGGCGCGAACTTGCGTAAGCCTCGCTCCATTCCACGCATTTTCCCGCGCCGCCGAGACAGCAGCCCTTCTATTTATCGGGAGGGGCCGATAGGAAAAAGGAGGATTCGCCAATTACGCTGTTATTCCCATTTATCTTTGCGAGCTCGAACGAAATGGAATACAAAGATCCATTGAAAATAAATGACCTGGACTTTTTTCCACTGACTGAAAAATCTGGACGCGCTCTTTATTTATTCGCGCTAATCGATAAAATTGACAACGTCGTTTACGTTGCTACGGCGCATTCTATAAATATGGAAATCTATGTTACTGTTTTCACTAAAATGGAAATAATATCATAATTGCACGTTAACGAGCTTTCTTATCTTTTATAAACATATTAGTTGAGAATGCAATGGTGAAATAAATATCCATAACGTCTTATAGATACACTGATTTATTAGTTAATATTTAATGGTCATTTTTTTCTGAGAAACCATCATACTCAAGAAGTTTGACGATTAAAAAAAACCGTTAAGGACCCTACTAACGAAACATTTTATAGAGTAAAGTAAGCATTTGATATTTTTCAAAGTGTACAATGAATTATTCAAAACAGATATTATAGTGTATTAGAACAGATTACTCGGCAATTTGCATCCACCTCAGCACAGTTCAACACTCACAAGGTTAACTTTTACTCGCTTAGCCGTTCGCACCAATACTTATTCATCTTTTTAGCAATCGTAAAGTAAAAACCAAATAACGGATTTCGAATACACATTAAAAATATAGTCCAACCCCGCGAAAGCACGTAAATCAAAGCCCTGAATTCCACAGTCGATACAGCGTATCATAAGAAAAACAATGACCCGGCGGGACTCGGCGAAGGGAACAGAAACGACTTACA